GCTGGTGCTGGTGCTGGCGGTGGGGGTGAGGGGCAGCGCATGCAGAAATGGACGCCACTGAGGCAGGAACGCCACCACGGAGGCCAGCAAGAAGAGCCACCTCGTGTCAAGGATAGGCACGACTGCAATGACCAAGATGCTTAGCTCCAACCCACCCGGCCTCTTCTGTGCCTGCCCATGCCACGGCAAAGCAAATCTAATCTACAAGTGCAACGTGGCTGCGCTAAGTGGAATCATGCCGCCTGAGCCAGCTGACCCAAGTAGAGTGCCAGGACCTGCTACAGGGGATTAATCGTGCAGTCTCTAGATGGCATAGCATTAGATCTGCCAAAGGTGCCGCAACCCTGTGTCGCTCGTGCCTGTGTGACCCAAGCTCCCAGCAAGGCAGCTGCAGAGGAGCGACGCTCTCGAGCAAGTGTGGAGATGTTCAGAAGCCTCAGAGCAGCAAAGCAATGAGAGTAGTATGAGAGTACTGTGCCCGATGCCAACCCAAACCCAGGCTGCCAAGACACGAGAAGCAGGGTACGAAGGCCCGGTATAAGTACGCAATGTGGAAGAAGAGACGCCTGGATTGTAATACCACGGAGATGTATCACTTCGACGAACGCCTGCCTACAAGGTCCCCGGTGACTTGCCTGTTAGGTACCCTTTGGGACGACATCTGGCATGTCCGAGCATAAACGCCGGGCATGCAGATCAAAACAATGTTGAAGCAACAAGCAGGACCGGGGCTTAGACTGAGTCATGCCGTCACCGTCGTACGCTTCGGAGACTCCGCAAGCCATAGCCTGGAGACAACACGTAGGAAGTGAAGGACAGCGGAACCATGAAGAACCCCCTAGTAAAAAAAAAACATCCACCTGCGCTAGGTAGCGCAACCTTCCCTAGAAAGGTCTTGACACACACAAGTCATCAAAGGGAGATGACTACCAGAATCCTGGGGAAGGACTGTGCATGTGAAGTGCAGGACGGACTCACTTGCTGCCCAAGTGTCCATGTAGAGGAGACCGCCGAGGCCAGTAGCAGCGCCACTGAGAAGCTCGTGCTGGGCCGCCCGTGAACTCTGCACTGTGCCTTGCTTTGATGTTAATTGCACTTTAATCTACACCATGCCAGCGGCGACTTGTGGTTTAATGACTGGACTTCCCGAAAGATAACTCCTCAACATTTGCCGTCCCAGGTACAATTGGCTCGGCTCCAGTGTACCATTGCCTCACAGGAGAAGAAGCGGCATGTGCCTGTGTAAGTTAACCACGCACTGCTATGTTGACGCACCTGATGCAAACTATCCTGATTCTCATTCTGACTATGACACTTCTTTCTGCTCTACAGTAGCCTTACTGGTGGTTAGTAGGAAAAAAGGCAAAATAATCCCTATAGAATCCCTATAAATGCTCCCTTACAATCCCTATAGAACCCCTAGAAATGCACTCCCTTATTCCCTACTAATCCCCGGTAATTAAGTAGCAAGCATAGTTGGGGGGGACCGGCCTGCGCAGCCATGAGGCCAGCAACTGCGCAGTCTGTCATCTCAGCCTTCTTTAGCTGCTCCTGCAAACGCACTACCAGAGGCGCTTGTTGTCTGCAGCTTCCGAGAGCCATTTTCTCAATCTGGTCTTTTATGGTCTTGACTAGGTTTTCAAGATAATCCAAAAAACAGCAAGAGACCAGATCAACCAACCACCGTTTCCCAGGGCCCCACCATGATAGGAGCTCGATGCTGCAGCGCGTGGCGCAGAGCGGAGGAAATGATCTCTGAGGCACGGCCCTTCTGGTTGCCGGCTACGGCTGCAACACATGAACTTCTAGTACGGTGAAATGCGTTTTGGCTTGAATCCTGTGTCAACGTGGAGAACCTGGAGCCACCACAGAGCCGTCATGAGACCAAGGTTGCAAGGAAAAGGGGAGTTCATGCTTCAGCAAGTCTGATAGCCACAGCAAGACAGCAGAACCGCAACAGCTGCGGCTTTGTTGGGTTGCTGGATGGCTGCTTTTGACTACCAAGATTGTTCCGCCTGTTCTCTGAGAGCTTGTGCAACGGCCGTCTTCGACGTCGATGCCCAACCATGGCCAGCAGTGGTGCAGTGAAAAGCATCTGCTTCATCCTGCGCCTTGCAGGATAAACTTTTGGTCAGCATAGATGCGAAACTGCACTGCGCCGAGGTTACCTGTTAATGTTGCCAGAGATGCTCATGAACAGCATAAACGTGACGAGCCAGCCAAACACAATCTTCTGCCAAAGCCACATCTGAATCTACATTCTGGTTGCGGCGGGCTCGTCTGAAGAAAAAGAAGGCCCAAAACAAGTGCCTCTTCGCCCGCCTCAAGCAGGGCCTAAGTCGGTCGAAACACGCAGGAGGCCGTAAGCCAAGCCTCCAGCGTGGGCAACTTGCGGGCAGCGTTCGGCAACGGATGGCAAAACATGCATCATGATGAGAACCGCTGTTGTATGCTGAGTGTTCTTCAGCTTGTACTTGCTGAACAGGGCTGCCATGTTTTGCCACAAGGCATCCCTCGTGAATCACTTACTTAGCAAGGACACAAGGCGGGTTGCCTTTCCAAGCCTGGGCAGTCTTAGCAGGTCTTTCGAAATGGGTCCGTGCTGTCGACTGCTGGTAGCGCTCTGTACGAGCTTCCCTGGCAGCAGTGAGACTGGGTCCGCCATCGGTTTTTGCGTTCTAAAGCTCTGACAAATTCTATCCTGCACTCACTTGTACTTCTGAACTGACACTGGCAGGTTTAGGTTGTGGTCCCTAGGCTGCTGGAGGAAATTGGCCTATGCGCTTAGCACATAGCCATCTTGGCACAGCGGTCCCTGCAAAGCAGACACAACTGTGTCAATCTTGTGAATCATCTGCTTCTTGGCAGACTTGTTCACCAAAATTTGCAAGTGCTTGCTCGCATTAAGCCACAGCGCCACATCCTCTGCATCCGTCACGAAGACACCTCCTTAGAAAGCACGACACACTGAACTGGCTTGGAGAGAAACGGCAGCAGTGCTGAGTCTCAGAGAACTCTAGGAATCTCCAGAAAGACCAGCCAAAAAAAAAACAGCATTCCCCCTTCCCATCCAGATTACCTACAGTACTTACGCTTCTTCTGCTGTGCACCGCAGGTCTCCTAACATCCAATGCCAACTACCCATGCCAGAATTGACAGCAGGAGCTGGACAAGACAAGGCGCTGCCGGACAAGTCTGATGCTTCAAAGAGCAGGCTCTTCGATTTGAGTGATGCCTTGACGGATTCGTCAATGCCTCCTTCATAGGGTGGCCCATGTGAGCTTAAATGAGGGCAACTGGCATCGTTTTTTGCTGGCCTGGCTGAGAGGCGAAAGTCGGTGACAAGGGAACGTACTCCTCAGAAGAGCCAGGCAAGTCTGGTAGAAAGTGCACGCAGCTCACATCTCATTAGCATGTTCGCCACCTCTTGGCCTGGGAACGCATATCCAGGGTTTTTATGTGCTGATCTAAAGGCTGCTTCCAAAGGAGATGAAATGTTAGCCGAAGCACCCCCTGCAGTTCTCCACCAAGCTCCAGCAAGGCCTTTGTCAGCACGCGCTCAACTTCACCTTTGGCGCAGGGTGTGCTATCATGCTGCACCACGAAGCTCATGGGGCGCTATGAATGCTATCACATGGAGCTCAGAGACATTTGGCAAGACTCTCTTCAGCGTCCTCTTAGCACTAGATTCTACCAAATGTTTTGCCAAAACTGTTGTGGTACCCTTAAAAGCCCCACACGCTTGTCGAGGCGCAGCACTCCGCAGTTGACGTTCCCAATCCTTTGAGGGTCAGGTTGCCGGTGACAGGCAAGAGCCAGTCGCCAACAGCCGGCGCCTTGCAGCCAAAAGCTTCAAGTAAATCCTCCTGATCATTAGGGGATTGCAGAAATAGAGGGCTATATAGTATCGACTATAGACTCCAGTATACTATGATCCCCATTGTAGTTCTCGCCAAAGAGGGACCACCCAATTTTTCGGAGACCCCGATGCCGTGATGCGTGCCTCAACGACCATCTCTGTGGAAGCCTTGCGGCCAAAGGACACCACCGGAAGTGGCGGCTCCTCTGCCTTTTCCTGCGAAGCATCTTTGAAAAGCCTATTACTATTACTATCTGTTTTTGGTTCGACACAATTCCCAGAAGAGCACCTCCTTTGGTGCTGGAGTTGGTGCTGCTGTCTCCAGGGGAAGCGGCATGTACCACGTGCCAACAGATGGCCTGGCAACTGACATCCGGCTTAGACGGCCATAGAGCTTCCCCTTCTCTGAAGCAGCCATCCGAATGAGTCTGCACGCAAGTTTGGCCTCAGAGTGAAGGGCGTATTTGACGTGGACTCCTGCAAGCAGTTTGTGCCCTCATGTATGAGTACTTTCTCTAGACTCTTGTGTAAGAAGGCATACTACTACTGATGCCAACTTAGACTCCTGAACTTCTTATACTTTCCAAGGTTCAGGGTACTGTGCTTCGGGACAGAAAGGATTGGTACCAACAATGGGACCACTTCTGCTGCTCCCTTGCTAAAAGGTGACAGCACGGTTGTTTTCTGTTGAGTCCTCCTCAACGGCGCCAATGAGGTCCCCACCGCGCACGGATTTCATAAGGGCAGCGCGGGCATCTTCGCGGGAGGCCTGGCGACTTACACAACACTACATCAGCACATCTTCCTATAACGCTGTGGAGAGGTGGTCTCACCTCTTTCTGGGTGGTCTTGCAAGTGCTTGATGAGAGGATGAAGGCTTGCTTGTCACATTTCGGTTAAGGACAGAGCAGCGATGTTGGAGTTAGAGGTGTGTGAAATCCATTACCGAGGTAATCACAAGTTAACAGGACATTCCGGGGAGTTGTGGAAAAAGTGAAAGAAAGATGCGCTTGCGAATGTGACGGCGCCCCCTAACTGTTGAAGAACGTACTTATGGATTGGGTTTCTATAAGGGTTACATTGGAGATATAGTAGGGTTACATTAGGATTATATTGGGGTTACATTGGGGCTATATTAGGGTTATCCTGGGGTTACATAGGGATAATGGTAGAGAAAATGGAAACTACGTACCCCCCCCCCCAGTGCCATCGCAGCAGAAGCCATGATAAGCCCTATACATCCATCTGCAATCCCTGTCACCTAGAAAGGGAACCTGAACCCCAGGCGCAGCATAGCCCTATATAACTCATTATAGTAATTTCCCTTTCTTTTCCATTATTGCCATATAACCCCAATATAGCCCTAGTATAACCCTACTATAACCCCAAAGAGTATGTTTGTGTAGTAGAGCCCTAAACCCTGTATGACAGTAGCTTCCCTCAATCTGAAACCCGTTCGAACCTCACTTGGCTCCGGCTTGGCCGAAGGGGCCGGTGGCTCAAGAACACTTACCTGAGCAGATAGGGTTGAGGGTTTAGGGTACTTCAGACATCTGGGGACTTCTTAAAGGGCATTGAGGCTGAGGACTTAGGAGCCTAAAGGCCATGAGTGTCTTTTGAAGGTGCCAGCGTTGAGGGTTCCAGATTGTCAGTCTTAAAATGTTCACGTGATACGCTCCCGGATCTCCCCACATCTCACACGCCCATCTTCTTGCTGGCTCTCAGTAGGGGAAAAGGGAATATATTCCCTATTTAATCCCACTGCCCTTACTCCTTACTAAGAACTAGTAAGTTATAGGAGGCTTGAGTTCTTCGCGCCGCCTCCCTGGCGCTCTCTCCCTGTCTCCCAGCCCATGGAAGCACATGCGTCCAGCGGTTTCGAGCCCTGCAGCCAAGGGCAGGCGCGGTAGTGTTGATAAATGACGTTTCTCATCTTGGAAAACAAGTCCAAGTAATACTTTTCCTTCAATGGATTTCTCCGCACGCGCGGAAACTGGCGGAGTGCCATGTGGAGACTGGAGAGGTGGACCGGAGAGTGAAGTTGAGAGTGAAGTGTACTTTGGAGGAGCGTGGAGTGCGGAGTGGAGGAGGGTGGAAACTGCAGCGTGGAGTGGGAAGTGGAGGGTGTGTAGTGCAGGGGTTGGAAAATGAAAGGAGAGGAGAGTGCAGACTTGAGTGGAGATTGCTGCAAGTCGTGTCATGTGTGGAGCGTGCAATCTACGCAAATTACGTCGTGTCCGCATTCGGGTTCGTTTGCTTTTGCTGAGGGAAGTTCGGCACCAGCCCGCATGGGGTTCACTTTCACATTTTGTTCTGAGAAGCATTTAGGATCACCTGGCTGTTGCCGCGAAAATTGAAGAAATCAAGATCAGGCGAGCTAAAACGAACACTCCAACAACACAGGGACCCCCTCGTGAAAGGTGCATGGGGAAGATACATAGCGCTGGGCCCCGCCGATTTTCCCTGGGGGCAGCCGCCGATTTTACTAGCATGGGGTGGGGTCGAAAAAATAGGTGGGAAACCTCATTTCGGCATCAAAAATTCATCGCTATCAAACAGATGCGAGTTTGGCATACTGTTTGTGAACTGCGTGTGGCCTAGCTCTTGTGTGATCCATTCTCTGCCACGGCTGCACGCAGCATCAGCAGGCTTCTGGAGCGTGGTCCAGAGACCCTCACTGTTTATGCGTCATGGCAATAGGCGGCCTATTTCAAACGACCTCCCGCGTACCCTCACCCCTGAGGGTGCGCACTTGCACATCAGCAGCAATAGCTCGTGTTCTTTTAGACGTGCTATGTTGTAGTCCCATTCGTGCCAGCAAGCTATCCAGGGCGCTTTCCTCTTTTCCAGCTCCGTGTGGCAAGGTGTTTCGTCATGTCGCACATTGTGCACAGCGAATAGCTCCTCCCCCAACGGGGGAGCAGATGATCGTCATCAGCGTTAATTTTGGTCTATTGGATACTGGCTGCGATGTCTGTTCCGTCTACACCCATCAAGATTTGCTTCCTGTTGGAACACAGCATCCCGTGTAATTCGCATTCTGGGATTTCTGGAGTGAAGTACTCCAAGTAAGATTTCTGCGTGCATGCAGGGCACAGTTGACCCCAATCTCACACTTCACTTACCACTCGGGACGCCAAGGTCCAAACGCAAGAGCAGCTACCAGGATGATGACCCTCAGCTACCCAATCCCTGTGATTCTTAACACTTTTGAGGCGCCCCGGTCATGGTGTCTGCTCATATTGTTGTAGCGCGATGAAGACGCGAGAGTTCAAAAGCGAGGATGGAGGCTCTGAGGGGCCCAAGACCTCTGCCTTTTGGCACTTTTCACACGTCACGAAGACATGAGTGACAGAAGCGACGACAGTTCCAACGCTGGCGACCCTGACGGGCCCATGGTGGTGTGCTGAGACATTTCACACGCCTCGAAAACACCAGGGTCCAGAAGCGACGACAGTTACCGCACGAGGCGGGTCCAGCCGGGTTGTGACACTCGCGGACGCTCCGAGAACGCAACCACAACGGCCATTGATCACCTCCTGGACCCCTGCTGGACCGAAACGGAAACCCTTTTCCGGAGCATTGGAAAAAATGATTCTTCCGAGTGGCTGAGGGCTTCTCCGCGGGCTTCTCCGCAGGCTTCTCGACTGCTGGCTCAGGAGTTGCCTTGGGCTCATCGAACAAACGAGGACCGCAGCGCTAGCAGTGAAGGTGTCGCTCGGACACTCAACGCGAATGAACTTGCTGCTGAGATTCTCCGGGTACCCCGGCTTTCCTGGGCTGCAGCAGGTCACTATCTCATGCCAGTGGGGTTCCAATCCTGGATTATCACCTGAAGTGTCTAAACCAAACTCTTGCACTGTATCCGGCGTGGAACTCCATCTGCAATCCAGTTTGAACTTCTTGGGCCTGGGGAGGGAATTTTTCTGATTTTCCTCATGAAGCACCCTTGATTCTAGACCCAAGTCCCCTGAAACCGTCATGCAGCCCCTTGCAACCCTGGAGTGCCCAATCACGAAACAAGGATGTACAAGGATCACAATGTATCAGCACGCAACTTTTATTGGTTGCTAAACTCTAAACCCTACTGGTAGGTTCTCCGTATACACCCGGAAGATGTAGGGTTCACATTGCAAGGACGCTAGGACACGAATGTCAAAACCTTGTGAAACTCCCATGCTGCGAAGTTACGACACCTCGACAATTCTTACTTATTACTATTAATACGGTTATCACTATTATTACTAAGTACTACGTATCATCACTATTTCTACTATTATCACAACTCTTACTGTATCATTATAAAATGCCCAAGCCTTTGGTCCAAGCGGCAGGAACTTGCACATGAACTCAACCGGATCTTCAGGCTTCATCCTCTTGAGCAACGTCAGCAGGATGCGGTCCAACACGCGCGGTTGCATGTGGGAAGTGCGCAGCGTCTGTAATTAGCACTTTCCAAGGCATGTTAGGTTTGTAAAATGGCAGTCCTCAGCAGCGTTCGGAGGCACTCGGAAAGGCGCTGCTCAATGCCATGTTTTGCCAAGTACCCCACGGCAGCATCCTGAAGACGCGAACGATCAACTTTCGGAAAACGGCCATGCATGCAGAAATCGTAGTTGCAATGATTTCTGTTTGGTGAGAAAGGCATCAGGCTTCACCAAGTGGCCCCTGATCGTGCTACAGGCTGAAGCCCAACATGCAGGTACCCATCTGTACTAATCTCAACAACGCATATTAATGTGAACCGTACTCACTGCAGTCAACATTTCTTGTGGTGTCATGGACAGGCTCGGAACATAATGTTAGCTTACCAAAGGAATCTCATGTCCACACCAAAACATACTCTGCCTCCATGGGCATCAGCAAACAATCCTTACACAATTTGCCTTCTGATCAGCCACACTCGCTCAGAGTATACCGGAACCCCAGACCCTAAGCCTTAAACCCTAAATTTCCAAGCCCTGAACTCCAGGGAAAACCTCAAGCAGCAATGATGACAAAACCTGAACCAGTTTGTGAAATCTCCCTAAACCCTAAACCCTAAACCGCGCTTAGAGCCGCTTGCCGCCTTTGTCTCTGCTTCGATCTCTTGGCGTTGCTTGGCGGTGTCTTCAGCCTTCACAGGAGAAGATTTTGTTGGACCTCATAATATTGGGGTTATATAGGGATAATGGAAATAAAATGGAAACTACTACAGTATACTAGGGTCCCTTTAAAGGGATATGTTGGGGTCATATAGGGATTTGGGTTTGGGTTTAGGGTTTAGGGCATGGTACCCTGATCATGTTGTACTATATTAAGCCTTTGATTCGCAAGGGCGAAACGGGGTTACCCCTAATTAGACTCTGAAGCCAGAGCCTACATCCCAAACCCTAAACACCACCAACCCCTTCACCCCAAAGAGCACCAAACCCTAAACCCCAAACCAGACCCCGAATTGCAAATCAAACCCCGAAGCCCAAGGCCCCCTAAATACTTGACCGAATTAATCCTCATTTAGGGCTAAGGGTAGGCGCAATACGTACCCTACATTCATATCTTAATTTGCATGTTGTGTTCCACTATCCCTGTATAACCACAATATATACTAAAATCCAATGAAGTAATTTCCATTTTCTTTTCCAGCATCCATATATAACCCTAACCAAACCCTGAACCCCAAACCCTAGACCCAAAATCTCTAAACCCCTGACCCTAAACCCCCAAACCCTAGACTAAACCCCTAAACCCCTAAACCCCAATCTCCTAAAACCCTAAACGCTTGAACCCCAAAACCCCTAAACCTCTGAGCCTTCATCTCCTTGCTGGCGGAGCTGACCTCGGTCAGCCGAATGGCTACTTGAGATATATAGTCTAAACTCCTTGAAGGGAGGGTTCATATTGGGGATTAATTGTAAGATTTAGGGGTTTAGGGGCTTAGGATTTAGGGTCTAAACTCCTTAAAGGGGGGATATAGAAGGGGATTATATAGGGAATATTCTAGGGATTACTAAGGGGGATGTCTTAAGGAGGTTTAGGGTTTAGGGTTTAAACTTCTTAAAGGGGGTATATATAAGGGGATTATGTAGGGAATATTGTAGGGATTACTAAGGGGTATACCAGGAGTTTAGACCATAGCTCACTTGCCCCTGGATGAATTGATGGTTTCTGAAAAAAGTGTTTAGGGCTTGAGTTTATTGCTTTCTTTATGGGACCTGGGTTTAGGGTTTCTGAAAACAGGGTGAGCCTTTGGGATCCTGCGGTTATGGAGATGAGGGGTGGGAAGAATTAGGGTTTAGGGTTTTAGGGTTTAGGGTTTAGGATTTTGAGAATCTCCCAGATAATATTTCTCAGGTTGGGGGTCTCTCAAAAGGTCGCGCAACAGTCAAAGCGCCTTTTCCAAGGACCCCTACAATACAAAGGAGCCAATAAAATTTGAAATATTCAAATGGTAATTTCCCAAAATAGGGGGCCAATATAAAAACAAAAAAACACAATCCTTATTAAGGGGACCCAAAGGGTACCCGAAACCCTAAATCCTAGTCCCTAAATAATTTTGGGAAAGCTCCAAAGTTGGCTAGGTTGGCCCCTAAAGCCATTGACAAATATTCACATATATAAGGTCCCCTACTAAAGCCATTAGGGAAAATGTTAAATATCCCAAGGGCCTACCCAGTTGGCTGTTGATGCCCCTAAACCCTAAACCCTAAGCCCTAAACCGTAAAGCTAAGCTGCGCGAAGCTTCATGCCATCGGCTTTGGGATCGGAGGAAATGACTTTGACCTCCCGAGCAAGGCGTGGAGGCATCTAAATTAAGGGCAGGATTTAGGGTTTAGGGTTTAAAGGACTTTAGGAGGGACCCC